ATCTGTCTAACTCATTTCGGAAGTGATGTATATGAGGAATATAGAAAAGGCGATGGTCTCGGGGGTGGCGCTTTATGTCAAAACCTGGACTATACCGTTCCCAGCGGCGCGCAAGAGTTTTGTGTTGTTTGAGACACTCCGTGCACAAACAATGGGGGGAGTGTAGCCGCTGTTATCAACATTGGCATGGCGTAGCTGCTGGCATCAGCATCACGCGCATATCATCCCCTCTAAGACTTATGTTAACGGTTTCCTCGTGGGTTGCGATAAGGATGATACCATGGCCGTGTTCTTCCGTGTGTTTATATGTGCAGAATTAGGCCTTGTCCCCAGTGTTGACGTATATATGGAAGGAAGGGCGTCTCACGAAGTGGGGCCATCACTGGGTTGTAGAACAGTTTGAGAGTGAATACTGGCTCGACAACATGTACATAAGGACCGATTTAAGGACTTCTGTTAAAGGCCTTGACTATTCCCGCTATGCGTATCATACACATTCATGTATAGATATGCATTAGTGTCCGTATATGTTGTTCCTTACCAAAAGCAGTAGGGTATAATGACATTCTTAGCAAACAGTAAAATGTATTCTTTCTATAGTTGTAATATTATAAGTACTGATATAATCTTGTTAGTGAATCTAAGTCGAATTGTAACAGCAACTATGATTATTACTGTATTATTATTGTATTGATTATGTATTGATTACAGGTTTGACCGCATTCCAATTAAATTGAGAAGCGATTACGACGCAGTGGTATCAGTCACCTTGAGTTAACACAAATAACCTAAGCGCGTGAAATGGCGCTTACATGTATGAGAGAATACATTTCCTCCCATTTTAAAGGTTATTTGGGCCTCCCCTACTGCCTTTACCGGTTCTCCCTCAAGTATTTAACTTACGAGCTAAAATAGGAATTATTAGGAATTCAGCTTCTTATACTACGTGTGTCCTCTGCCTTTAGTCCCTTTTGTTGCCATCACCCTGCGACAGACTTGAAAAGATTTTTTTACTCTTCATCTGTGTCATATTCATTCTTCTGAGGACAATCTTTGACTATATGCCCATCTTCCTCACAGAAGAAACATGAAACTTTTGCTGGGTTCTTGGGTCTTGTCCCGGGACTCCAGCATCGGTCCTTTGGATGCGAGTTATTCCATCCATGGACATCACAGAAGTACTTGCTTCCTTTCTGCCAAGGTTTTCTCCTCTGAGGTTCCCTTGATCGCCCCTCCCTTACTACTGCTAACCGAGCCTTCCCAGTGGCAGCGGTTTTAATCCTGGGACGTAGGGTTGACTGGAACTGGGAATCCATCTCCCTGTTTATCTCTATCCATCTCCTGTAATCCTCCATGATTTGCGAGTATGGGATGGCTTTCAACTTCTGTACATCCCAGTCATCCCCAATTCTGTATTTGCCCAGAGCACAACCAACCATAGTTTTAGCCAAAAACCTCATGGTTATAGGGAATGATATATCTTCTGGAAAAGGCCATACCCTTAAAAGAGTAAAGTTCATGTGAATAGCTTTTTCACTATTCATCCAGTCCTCAAAAGACTCCGGAGCTCCTCCCACGAGATAGATCCTGAGGTCATCACCAGAGCCACCCTCTTGGCGTTCCCCTTTTCGGGGTGGATGTAGCTGGCGGCGAATCTTGCTTTCTCGGCGTCTCCCGTAATCCCTGTCCGTTCCATTTCGGACTCAACCAGGGCAAGCCATTCGCCCCCCGTCATCTCATCTTCGTTTCCCTTGAACATCGGGACATAACTCCTCAGTATCACCTCAACAGGTTCAGTTCTTACAACGGTTCCTGTCGAGTCAGGTGCAGTAAGTTGTGTTGTTGGAGCTTGCCGAGTGACTCTTGTTAACTCTGCCTTCAGTCGTTCAACCTCTCGGGTCAGCTCCATCATAGTGGCCCGCAGCTCCATCATAGTGGCCAGCAGTTTTTTCACTCGCTCCATGTCAAGGTCTCTGGCCGCGTAATGGATTCTTGAAAGACGTTCTTGGGGACTCGAAAGATCTGTTAACTGTCCTCGAGCTAAAACGAAAATGAAGAAGTCAATTTCGTTTCTGATGTCAGATAGAGACTTCCATGCCCACTTCCGCTCTAGTCTTTTTTCGAAGAATGTATTTATGATATTGAGTGATCGAGCCACCGCAAAATCGACTAGCATTTGTCCCCTATCATTCTTAGTGTCTATTCCGTGATTCCCCACTCGTCTTTTTTCCTGTCGTTTTCCCTAATTTGGCATTAAAGTCTCCCATAATTATTTTGAAATGGATTTTTATTCTCTCGTTGGCTAAGAGAGCATCTTCAAAAAAGCTCTCTATTTCTTCTTCACTGGCTGCAGGTTGGAGCATAAACTTGAACAATCATAAATGTATATATATATATATGTATGATTGAGTTTTCTTTTTGTGCGTCCTCATAATGTCTGATTGTTTTTTTGTTTATAACATTATCTTATTATTCCCTTTTGCAGTTTAGCATTCCCCTATATAGTTTTCCAGATTTTCCAATCAAAAAAGGTAGAAAAAACATTTTACTCATCATTAGTTTTCAAAGAGAATGTAACATTCAATGATTTTCTTATAAAATGTTAATAGTGTGATTCTGACTAATTCAATGGTAAGCTAAAAATGAAGTATCACTATGGTACTTATTACTGGAATTATAGTTTTTACAACCATTGAAGCCTTGGTACTCAGAAGATAAATGTCATTTGTTATTTGGAATTTGTTATTCAAGACTGTAAATTTTTGTTTTTCTTTTCCTTCTTTTAGGAGCTATTAAAGTCTTATATATGGTATTTCCTGATATAAGAGTGAGACATATATTAGAATAAAAGTGAATTGATCTTGTCAGAAGATGTATAAAATTGTGCAACTTCCATTTGTTTTGTTTTCTTCCTTTTGATATTCAGTGACTTCACTTTCTGTGAAATAGGTGTTGGAGTATTTTCTTCAATTAGTGTGCTTAAATGATTGTTACTGAAGAGTTCATTTTATGATTAACAGATGGTGTTATCTGTTAATCTTTAAAGCAAGTAAGGGATTTCACAAAGGTTTTCAAAGGCAGTGTTGACTATTACATGATTTTAGATATGCTATGGAAAGGGTAGTTCTTGATATTACTAATATTGTAATAATCTATATGTTGATATTGATGCAAGTTTCATATATAAAGTTTAGAAGAAATATATTTGTTTAACTAATTGATGATTCTTAGGGGTTTATTCTAACATTCCTACTCACAATTGTTTAAGTAATTTGTAAAAAATGTATGTATTCCCCTTAACAAGGTAATTTATTTGGTTTAGTATTTGATGTGAATATTAAAGAAAAAATAATTCCCATACTATTGGTAACTACTAAATTAACCAATATATTTTGTTAAAATGATATTACTCTTCACTTATTTTATATTACAGAACAAATAAATATACTGTGTATACCATGAAGTGTTTAGGGATGGGTTCGTAACTGAGTCTAATTGAAAATAAACCTTTATCACACAGTGCATAACATGATAAGAATTGTGTTAAAATGCACCTTTGCATTTATATTATTATTATTATTATTATTATTATTATTATTATTAATTATTGTTACTATTGTTCCATGGGTCACCAAAGAATGTTTTATTTCTGTATATATTGATTAGAGAATATACTAATTAGGAAGCACATGTGAAAGTTTTTGTTGGATTTAAATGATTTTGTCTAGCAGTCTATCAAGAAATTAAAAGACAAATTATTTGATTTATGCCATTATGCAAATTAACGATAATATATGTAATTTATCCATGCTTAGTAAAATCTATTATAAACCTTCTCCACTGCATCACCAAAGATACTAGAAAATATGATAACAAAAATTATGTGTACCGGGCAGTTATATTACAAGTGTCTATGGCAGAGTTATCTTATTCTCTGAGACTGAGGTAGATCTCTTTTATATATTTTGTAAATGTAGTTAATTTTCATAGCTGTGAATATAGATTATCAGGTAGGATACAGTGAATTCAACCTTATACCATATTAATCAATTCAAATGCATTATTTATTTCTCATGATGAGTATGTAATAGGAATTATAGATTTAGGTATGTGCATGTACTATTTCAAGGCAGTTGCATGTGATAACAGCATACTAAACAGATGTGAATTACCAGATAAAATTAGAACTACAATATATATTTGTCATAGTGTTCAATATAAATGGTTCAAGCATCACATATAACAGCTTTCATCACAAAGCGAATGTGTAAAAAAAAAAAAAAAAAAAAAAAAAAAAAAAAAAAAAAAAAAGTCAAATAGCCATTATCATACTGTCCACACACTGAGCAAAAAAAAAAAGTCAAATAGCCATTATCATACTGTCCACACACTGAGCATTCAATTTGTATTAATTAATAATCCAAGAACAATAAATTTATATTACTATTCTATATTTACTTGACCTCCATTACCTGATTATAGACCATTTATTAATTGTTAGGTATTTAGTTCAGTATCATCCAGGCCAAGAATGAAGATTGATGTGGCCCAAAGCTGTGAGAAGTTTGGAGGCCCCTTGTGAAGTTAAAGTAAAGCTATTATGAAGCTTGAAAAATCAATGCTTTAAATAAGAGTAAAAACAAACAACTCAAATGAATGCGCTACTAAGTCAATTCTAAAAAGTCATTAAAAAAATTGGAGGCCCTTTCATTGAGAAACGAGGACCCTAAGCTTTGACTTATTTAGCTCTTATGTAAATCCAGCCCTAGCATCAGCTTATCTGAGCATCATTAATATGAACACTTCAGTTATTCTTTTACAATTATCACCTTGTCTCTCATATGCATTTCCTTTGATTTGATTTCTTCAAGGATTTGGTTTTGTCAAAATTTTAGGACGGAATCAGTGTTCATGAAGAACTGAACAATTCATATTGCAAGCATTGTTATCCCAAACTTAAAATTGGGTTTGCAGTCCTCCATGTTAAAAAAAAAAACACATTTCATAATATTCACTTGAAGTTTAATGCTTCTTATATTGATATATTATTAAGCCATTCTTTTCCTACTGGCAGACTCTACCCTTATGATCCTACAACCATAAATGCTCTTTCAAACTATCAACTATTTATCAGGCAAATGAAAAATATAAAGGTGATGGCCAATCCAAGCACACAGCCACACACCCAAACTTTCTGTGAACAAACTTATTGGCTAGTTCATTTTGGGTTTGTTCAAGCAGCTCACCAAGTATTCCGTCAGCCAACTCTATAATCTGGATATGCGTGCACTTATTTTTTGTAATGGTAAAAAAAATAATAATTAAATAAATAAACAAATAACTAAATAACTAAATAAAATGATAATAAATAAATAGATAAAAAATCAAAGTTGTATGTGTGTGCCTACCCTTACTGTACTGCTGGCTATGTAAGTGAAGCTACAGTGCCTTGTTTGTGTACTATTACACAAACAGTGTCCATTTACTATTAGTATAGTCATTATTCACAAAATTCTGCACTCTAAGGAAAATCCTTAACTACATGGGAAAAGTCCAAAGCCATCATCTTTCTCAGTTATCTAGATTGTGGCCTACAGAATGACAGACATACAGACATACTATTGTTATTGCTATTACATTTTCTAAACCTTTATTCTTGAGGTGGATTTAACAGCTTCTTCCAGTCAGGATATATATGCTCCTTCATCCTGATGCTGTAAGCGGCTAGCTTTGGATATGTAACTGGAAAATAAAAATGGAATTACATACATATTTGTTTTTGGGTCTAGAGGAAACATAATATAAAATACATGCTAGATATATATCAATCCATATGTCATTTCTCCTTTCTCTTCATCTAACCTTTGATAAGCGTCTCAAAGGGCGAGTCTGTGTCATTCCACATGCCCTGAGCCAAAAATCCAAAAACAATGCAGTCAGTTGAACAGGGCTTGTCACCACCAAAATACTGGCCTTCACCTGTAAAAATAATATAATTGTACTAAAATTAAGAAATACATAATATGAATTATGTGTTACAGTAGTAATACATGACTACAGTTTCACTAACATAGATAAGCTCTATATTTTTATAACATATCATTAACTACAAACAATATCTGTATGCAACTGTAATATATATAACCCATGGTTAGCTTTTTATAATAACAATAAAAATATAACGTAGTCAAATTTCAATTTCTTATCATGAATGATCACAAAATATATTACTTGTTATAACTGTCTGTTAACACTTCATCCACTTCACTGTTGTACAGTTGATATATGAAAACTTGCTCTTTTTCTTAATGCTAAAGTAACATGGAATGGAATATCTATAAAACTTACCTAGAAGTGTATTAAGGATTTCCATATTTTTCTCAGTCATCTTGACCTGTTCTGCGAATGTATGTCTGGCAATACCTTGTGCTCTTCCTCGCTTTTGTGAGTAGTAGTAGATGAATATTGGAAAATAGTAATGCAGAAACCAGGTTGGGAATACTTGAGTTTTCTTAAATACCTTGCAGTTGGTATGGTAATACCTATACATGAACAAAATCCTGAAAAAAAACAGGTAATTGTTAGATATTAGTAAAGAAATAGAGAATAACAGAAAGATCATATCACTTTCTTCAATATAGAGTTAGAGAGCATCGTACCAGAACATGTGTTCTTCCAACATGATTCTTATAGCTTCAAGAGTTGCCTTCCTCTCTGGTGTGAGGTGGTCGTCAAGTTTGACATTAAACTGCTCCGTCAAACGTTCAACTATATGCTGGGAGTCCTCAATGTCTTCTCCATTCAGAGTGATCCAAGGGCACAAACCTCTTGCTCCAAAAGGCTCTTGGGTGTCAGTCTGTAGAGTGAAACAAAATATTTACCAAAATATACTGATGAAATGGTATAACACAGTATACAGTATGGGACAATTTATGTTTTTCTTTTTATTTATTGTTAAATAAGCAATAGAGAGTATACATATCTGCAACATATATTTTACTTACAATATACTTGATTCCAGCCAAACGCATAAAACATTCCACTTTCAAAACATATGGACTCATATTGGGGCAATATTTGCCACGCCAAAATTGATGAAGAACCACAACATCCTTGCCTGCAGCATTCCAGTCAGCTCTGAAACATTTGCTTACATTAAGAGAGTTCACGTGCTGTATTGTTTATCATTCCATGCTGGTATAATGCATGACATCATATATTTTTTTGATTAGATATAATGATTCTAAATGTCAGAATGAATAAAACAATCTGATTGATTGATATACCTTAACTTAGCCCTTTTTCTGTTTTGAAAGAATTTTCTAACACAAATTATGACTCCGAATCCAATACATATAACAATGCTTCTTCTTGCCCATTCATTTGACCAAAGTGTTTCCAGGGAATCATTCACCGAAATGTTCATCTTCACAATTCCTGCAACAAAAAAATTTATGCAACTGTTACATATACAAAATTTCCAAATGTGCAAAAATAAGTTCAATAATTTCCATGCTTTAATTATAGTACTTTATTTTATGTAACTATTAAAAGACAATTATAATTTTTCAATGAGTTAGGTTTATATGACTTTTGTTATTAGTATGACAGTATATATGTAAACACACGCACACACACACATATATATATACTTATACTCATATATATACATATCTATACATACATATACATATATATACATACATATACAAATATATATACACACATATACATATATACACAAATATATACATATATATGCACATACATATACTTATATATACATATATATACATACACACACACACACACACACACACACATATATATATATATATATATATATATATATATATATATATATATATATATATGTATATATATATATATATATATATATATATATATATATATATATATGAATATATACATATATGAATATAAACATTTCTACATATATAAATATATATAAAAAATTATATATATATATATATATATATATATATACATATATATATGTGTGTGTGTGTGTGTGTGTGTGTGTGTGTGTGTGTGTGTGTGTGTGTGTGTGTGTGTGTGTGTGTGTGTGTGTGTACATATATATATGTATATACATATACATATGTATATACATATACATATACAGATATATATATATATATATATATATATATATATATATATATATATATATATATATATATATATATAATGTATAGAAATTTATATGCACACACACAAATATATAGAGATAGACTGGTAGGTTAATATAGAGATAGATATATAGTTAGAGATAAACAAATAGAGAAGTAGACATACATAGATATATTGTAGTGTCCGGACATGTGTAGTCCCCAGGGTGCCCCACCTACCAAGAAGGGTGCCTTAAGAGCCACGATTCCTCCCCTTGAAGGTCATCTGTAGGGTACAGCTTAAACATACACACCTACATGTACATTCGGTCACTCAATCACGCGCAAACACACGCACGCACTAACACACGTAAATACACTTATACATATACACATACTCATATAAATACTCCTGCTTACACACACACGCACGCACATGCTGTGCTTGCAACGGGGCGTATACACACACGGAACAAAACACACGGAGCGAGTACATCTAAGAGGGGGGGGGGGGTGAGTACAGTGTGTCACGGTATAATATTATTAGAAATAGAGAAAAATATAGGTAACTACATTCATAAACAGAGAAACTTATGGATAAAAAATGCACACTCATCATTATAACTGAAAATGCAACAAGTCATTCGTCTAATTCATAAATACTCATCAAAGTTCAATTTACAACTAAATCAATTTTCTATATTTCAGCTATTTTAACTCTTCATTCATCCATTTACAACCTCTGTGAACTTAAAGAACGCGTAAAATATTCACCTTTTGGAACGTGTGTTTGCAACAGCTCTCCTTAGTTACTGTGCTGATGGGTGCCTGTGCAGTCAGTGCTAAACTGGCGAATTGGCAACTGTATTATGTAACTATTGCCAGTTTACGTTTGTTACTTCGATTTTCTTAATAGTTTTTTCGTTGTAAAAAATGGTTTAGTAGTATGTGTACAGGAAGAGGTGTTTCGAGATCAACAAGGAAAGCCGAGAAGTAGAAAATGATTTGTTTTTGTGAACTATTTCGTTTAGTCTTCAAGGTCACAAGGTGTCTGGTGCTATGATTATCACCAACGCAACAGGACTGGTACTATCGGTAATTGAACTTTTGGTACGAAGAACCAAAGTACAGTTGATCTGTGGTCGCCAGCGATGCATGATTATTTCTCATTTAGCTAAAATACATAAGCGATAAGAGCAACCACACATAAGCGCATGTGCACACACATGCATATACACACAAATACACTTTTATCCTTTAAGTGTATATGTAGCATCAGGTTTGCATTCGAAATGAAAAAAAAAAAATCAGTTAATATTGTCAGATTGCACAGATAAAAAAAAAGCTTATAATATAAGGGTCTCTCTCTCTCTCTCTCTCTCTCTCTCTCTCTCTCTCTCTCTCTCTCTCTCTCTCTCTCTCTCTCTCTCTCTCTCTCTCTCTCTCTCTCTCTTTTACCTAGTCCTTTTGGGGTGTTGACATACGCCCCAAACGTGTTTCCATTTTGGCCACTGGAAATAGATTTGTGTTCACTCTCTCTGGAGCGGACACAGTTTTACGTCTGACTTCCCTTTTGTAAATTTGATTTTATTCCAGTATTATACCAATTGGTTATCATAAACATATGAAATAATTAAGTACATCTGTATATTTACTTATACAAGTAAATTCCACCGACTGACGAGTCCAATTTCTCTTTGTATGGTCATACGAGATTCAGTACGATATCAACCAGAATTAAGAAATTCTTCAAGATTATTCCGTTTCAGCAACCACGTCTACTTTGTCTACTTTGTATGGTCATACGAGATTCAGTACGATATCAACCAGAATTAAGAAATTCTTCAAGATTATTCCGTTTCAGCAACCACGTACGATCACGGTTGACACACAAGCACCCTGGCCTCTCCTGACCGTGCTGACCCAGCATAGTGCAATGGTGCCCTTGTTTACAAGCCTTGTAAATCATCACCCCTATATCCCCGAGACAAGGTATCTATAATGCCTTGTAAAACACTAAAGTCTTATCCCCTCCACAGGATCAACACCACGCTCTGTAGCTTGAATGGAATGTGGAGTTTCAGAGGCTACTACCATAAGTCTGGCCGTTGACATGCTCCCCTCTGAAATCACAGGTTCTCGGGTGACCTATGACCTCAAGAGAAAACCACCAGTCGGTCTTATTAAGATGTCAGAACTTACAGGGTAATATCTGTTGACATAGACCCCCTAGGTCTATGAGTGGGAGAGAGGTTACATAGCTGGCCAACCAATGACTATCTCCCTTGACAATGATGAACACTTCTCTGTCTCCTTCCTTAACCGCCTTTAGAAATATAAGGTAAAGCAAAGGCTAAAAGAAATCAAAACGGGTCCCAAGATTACCCATACCCATGAGTTAACCTGAGTGACATAACGTTAGTCTGTCCGACCAAACAGCAGAGCCATGTAAGCAATTTGCTTCACAAGTACATTGATAGATGCGTTTACCTTATTCAAATTTGCTTTAGACTGATTAAATTGATCATGAACTAACATTAGATCTCTGGACAAGATGGGTTACATGGTAAGGTATTACATCTTGTAATACCTTGCCATATACCGAGAAATTTGCGTGAACTGTTGTAACCAATGGTTTTGCTTTCCCGTCGGCTGTAAAATGTTATTCCTTTATTAACAAATGCAGACTCCTGGAAGATGCAAACACTCTGTCCCTTAGAGCTCTACGGTACGCCTACTACCGCCTGAACATTTTAATAATGCCGATATAATTCTGTTATCTGAATATAAAAGATCACCTAGATCATTATAGACCTTACAGATTGGTGTGAACCCTTTCACCCGTCACCTTACTTCCCCTGGGAAGTCTCTCCAACGTACATACACACGACTCAGTCACACTGATCAGTGATGTTAAAACTCTGGGGCATAGCATAAATTCCCTTGACTCCATGCACCCTTCAAGCATTCCATTGTTTAACTCTATAACTTCAGAGTTAGTCTGAACTATGTGAATTGGTAAATACTGTAATTCAATGAATCCCTTGTCTGTTAGCTATGGAGTCGATACTACCTTAGTCAACTCTCACTTGACTGGTTGGGGAATATGGAGTGTAAACGTGAAGATTAACTCATCTCCAAATCTAACCAATTCCATCTTGGCGAAATCCTTCATTGCACCTCCAAAAGATGTTCCCGGCATATTGCCTGTAGACCTCGTTCACTACTTTGCCAGTCGACAACCGAGGACATGTTAATGTCATCAGTATAAATTCACAAGCCTGCTGAATTTCCCTATCTAGTGACTCGAGAATGGCTTCCACATTATCCATTTCCTTATACCATTGAACTTCCTATTTAACCTCCCCGAGTGAAAGACACCCTTTTAGTCCTCTCTGAACCCCTGGCCATAAGCAATAACTCATGTCCTGCTAGACGCACTCGTGCCTCCCTTTCAGTCAAAGCGTTTTCCACTCCTACGTCTTGAGGTGTTTCAGATCCTCGGTATGAGGCTGATACTGCACAACTCTCCAGTGAGTGTTCTCGGTAAGGACCTTCTCTCTTCTAATCAGGACTTCACCCGGCCGAAGAAGTAGAATGCCCTTATTCGCCCAATTTGGGCCTCCCCTTTACCAGTTCTCCTTCAAGTATTTCACTTACGAGCTAAAATAGGAATTATTAGGAATTCAGCTTCTTATAGTACGTGTGTCCTCTGCCTTTAGTCCCATTTGTTTCCATCCCCCTGCGACAGACTTGAAAACATTTTTTTACTCTTTATCTGTGTCATATTTATTCTTCTGAGGACAATCTTTGACTATATGTCCATCTTCCTCACAGAAGAAACATAAAACTTTTGCTGGGTTCTTGGATCTTGTCTCGGGACTCCAGCATCGGTCCTTTGGATGCGAGTTATTCCATCCATGGACATCACAGAAGTACTTGCTTCCTTTCTGCCAAGGCTTTTTCCTCTGAGGTTCCCTTGCTCGTTCCTCCCTTACTGCTGTTAACCGAACCTCCCTATTGGCAGCGGTTTTAATCCTGGGACGTAGGGTTGACTGGAACTGGGAATCCATCTCCCTGTTTATCTTTATCCATCTCCTGTAATCCTCCATGATTTGCGAGTATGGGATGGCTTTCAACTTCTGTACATCCCAGTCATCCCCAATTCTGTATTTGTCCAGAGCACAACCAACCATAGTTTTAGCCAAAAACTTCATGGTTATAGGGAATGATATATCTTCTGGAAAAGGCCATACCCTTAAAAGAGTAAAGTTCATGTGAATAGCTTTTTCACTATTCATCCAGTCCTCAAAAGACTCGTCTTGATATCGCTCGGCATCCCTTAAGCACTCGTCCCAAGTTTTCGAATGTGAGAACTGAGCCAGTATGCCCCTCCGGAGCTCCTCCCATGAGATAGATCCTGAGGTCATCACCAGAGCCACCCTCTTGGCGTTCCCCTTTTCGGGGTGGATGTAGCTGGCGGCGAATCTTGCTTTCTCGGCGTCTCCCGTAATCCCTGTCCGTTCCATTTCGGACTCAACCAGGGCAAGCCATTCGCCCCCCGTCAGCTTATCTTTGTTTCCCTTGAACATCGGGACACAACTCCTCCTCAGTACCACCTCAACAGGTTCAGTTCTTACAACGGTTCCTGCCGAGTTAGGTGCAGTAGGTTGTGTTGTTGGAGCTTGCCGAGTGACTCTTGTTAACTCTGCCTTCAGTCGTTCAACCTCTCGGGTCAGCTCCATTATAGTGGCCCGCAGTTGTTCTACTCGCTCCATGTCGTCGAGGTCTCTGTCGGCGTAATGGACGTTGCTATCCTCTTGGGGACTGTACAGATCTGTTAACTCTCCTCGAGCTTCAGAGTCCCCAGATTAAAGATCCTCGACAATAATACCTCGTCGCTTAAGTCCGCTACAGCGTCTACAGACGTATGTACAGAGCCTAATATATCCCTCAGACCTGGCTCCCCCGCCACAACGAACGAAACTTCGTCACTACTTTCCGTTTTCCGTTTCTACGATAGGTCTTGCTCGGACAGGCACACCCACACTCGCTGGTAGCACTATCTTTATTTCCAAAGTTCTAAAGATCCCTTTTCCTTCCCATTTTAAATGTCTTGTTAATTCTCAGTCACAACCACTTCTCGGAACTGCAAGTCTAAGCCAGGCGCACGGCCCTCGCAGCTTGCTTGCAAATCCCCACTTGAAAGCGACAGGTAGAGTCAAGCCAATGGCCCTCGCAACTCTCTTGCACTTTTGTTGTCTCTTTTCCGAAGTCACTCAACACCAGTACTACACAGCTATTACACTTTTCCAAGAGTGCATAAACACCTTGTTATTCACACGCAAACTGATGAAAAAATATCTCATTGCTGAGGAAAAAAAAATATCCTAAGTCCAGTTAAGGAAGCCAAACTCAATGTGATATAAGAGTTATATATGATGAAATGGTCGGGAAGTTGTGCTGTGTTATGTTAGTAAAACCTTTTTACTTTTTATGACAATATAACGCTTGAAACACCAAATTTGACACTAAATCACATAAAGCTTACTGCATCATTTTTTATACATATGTAACCAATAAGTATTTGAGTGTATTGTCAAAAAATAATTATCCTTAATTAGGGTTCATTCGCTCATGCAGCAAGAACAGCAGCGACTCACTGCAGCGGAGGCCTAATCCTCACTGATACACATTCACCGGGCGCCACTCTGACTGGTTAAACTCCTCCCCTTTTTGTGACGTCACGTTTCCCTCACCAATTTTCGTCCCTAACACTCCGTCTGCCGGGCCATAACCGAAGGCCCGGGCGAAGCTAGAACTTCGCAATCGTCGTCACACTCCGTTTTCTTTTTTCTTTCTTTCTTTCTTTCTTTCTTTCCTTTCAACCCTCGTGATCCCAATCACACTCTAGCTCGCTCTTATGACGTCACGTACTTATGCACATACGAAAACACAATTCCTAGTTG